GGGGGGAGGGGGGGGAGCAGCAGCAGAAAAGCAGAGGAGGCAGATGGACGGTTTTGCTTTGAAACTGTAGCAGGCTGGAAACTGTAGGGGAGAAGGCTTCTGAAATTGTAAAAAGCTTGAAACTGTAAAAATGTCGAAAACATAAATGGATGGAAACTTTGCAAGTTGAATCAGGTCGGTTTTCAAGAAATCTTGAAACTTTCAAAACTTTCCCCGGTGCTATGACGCACCCCGCCCAGCGCCTCACTCTCAAAAAAAAATATCTGTTGATCATCACCAAAAAGCGTTTTTCTTTCTTTGGTTGGCAGGATCACCATCACGTCGGATCGTACAACAAACAAAAACAATCCATGAATCGACACACTACACATGAACAGCCGTCTTCGTGGCTGCGCCACAGTCCTACAACGGCATCCATCAGCTCTGTGTGACGTCTCGACTGCTCATCAGTTGGAAATTATCCTACGCTACAGCTACTTCAAATGCTGAGCGAATCAATTCTGTGGAAAATGGTGGCAGGAGCTGTTGAGAGCAGCTGCAATCCAGATGCAAAATTAAAGACTAGAATGGAGCGCACGTCAACTTGCGACAAGTGTACAAATGCATCCAGCAGCCAGGCGGCCGAGCTGAAAGATAAAACTCCAGCAATTCCAACACACCTCTGGTGCTTGCGCTTTCCAAAATTCAACAGGACGTGACAGTTAGTACATCTGACGTACCTACGTCCACGTCCTCCTCCTACCTCAGCAACGAGGTGCAGAACAAAGACAAATAGAAACACAAACATACATTTACATGATTGGATAGGTTTTCGGCAAATGTTCTCCACCTTCTCTTTGTCTTTCTCAGCCCATTTTCTCCTTGAAATAAACGTTCTTACTACCGGGTCGTCCGCGACGGCCACGTCCACCATGGTGTAGGTTCGCAAAAAATCTCCCAGTAAACGACGTCGAATTCGAAACGTCCAAGGTAGTCGCTCCGAGGAAGAGCGACTTCAGTTGGCTCCACGCAGAGGAGTTGCCGCACTCCCACGTCGGTGCACTGCCAGACACCAGGCCGCAGGTGAAGTGCAGGGCGACAAACGCAAGCAAGGAGATCCCGTTACGCAGAACAGTCGACTCGTAGTGCGAAAATTGGCCCTCCGGAAACAGGCCTTGCTGGGCTCGCTTGTCAAACCCGTGGTCAAAAAACGTATCGTAGATGCTGAACGGAATCAACGCGAAAAGCCGCAACACCGCCCAGACGTGCGTAGGCGCGAGAACGGACGGAATGGGCACCGCGGCGAGGGACGGTGCGGATGAAAACGTTCTCGAGCGTGGTGAAGCCTTAGCATTCAGATTCAACATTGTGTCTTGACTAGTAGAAGATACAGTTGCACTTTTGGTTCGAAGAAGGGCACCAGAACTGCCCTGGCGGTAACTCCAATAGCGATGAAGGAGCTCGCACAGGAGAAGCGGCATAAAGCAACTCATGGCCGGCAGGAGGCAGCGCCGCCGGACGCGCCACCGGTAGCCGAAAAAGTGCCACAGTCCAATCAGTGCGCAGTGTGCCCGGTTCATCGCCAGGCCAGCTCGGTACTCCGCATCGTTGAAACGTATTATACAACTGGTGGAACAGGATGACGTTGCGCCACTACTTCTACTGGCATTGTCCTTCAACTCATCATCCTGCTTGCTATGCTTTTCTTTGTCCTGGAGCTGGACCTGGTGCCCGACTAGTTGCTGTCCCTTCGTTCCAGTACCGTTCCTGTCAAGATTCAGTGCATTGCCTGCGGTCTTGGTGAGTTTTAGCCGTATGGTGTTCGTCTGTGGGCAGACTGTCAAGTACTCCATCGGAAAAGCAAAGGCCAGAATGAGGAATCCAAGCACGTAGTCGCTTTGGAACACGGCAAAAGCGCCCGCTTCCCAGACATTCGCATAGAAAACGATAAGTGTGGCGATTTCCGGCACCGTAACCGGAGAAGGAAGACCGCTACTTCTCATATCGCTTTTTTCTGGTACGTCGGCGCTCCGCCCGTTTAGGTTTACGTTTTTTATCCGTTGGTCCGCCATGATCCACATGATACAAAAGTAGGCTAGTACGAGCAAGAACCGCTTCAGATTTTCGTACGCGTCAAAGCTGCCTTCGGACTGGAGATACTGCTCTAGTGCAGAGAGTTGTCCTGGGGTGCGCGGAGCCGCAGGTGATGAAATCGCAGAGAATTGACGAGCCAGACTTCTTTCTCCGCAAAGAAGTATCAGCACCAGGACCGTCTGGCACATCCGCCACACTGGCTGGCTGCTGCAGAACCCCACGAAGGGAAACCACAGGCCGCAAACGCCACCAAAACCAATATCCAATAACGAGAGGGGGCTTCCGATACCTGCAGCAGTGACATGCCAATGCGAGTAGGCTGACAGGAAAGGACGCCACGAATCACCCTCCCCAACAACCTCTGGCGCTGACATGATGCGATGACGGCTTTGCAACTTGGAAAAGGTCCTTTTCCTTGGGAAAATCTGAATATCTTCTTCTAGTCACGGCGCCGCTTGCGCTTGGAGGAAAAAAAAATCCATGGGCGCAACCGCAAGCTTCATTCTGCATCTTCCGATTGGAAAGACGAAAAGTTTTGACGTACTCAGGGATCGATCCCGGGCCAACTCTGATGCAAGCCACGAACAACATGCACTAATCTGAATCAGCTTCAGAACCGCGCCTCCGCTAGTTCTCAGAAGCAGCAGAAAGAGCGCGACGACGAGCGTCAAAGAAACATCAGTGTATCATGGTCGAGAGAATCAATGCACAAAGAACTAAAATCGCAAAACATAAAACACAAGGCGTGATCAACTACAGAGCGCACAAGTCAGATACAGGTTGATGAATTCGAAGTAGTCAAACACATCACTAGCTACAGAAACATCAACAAGCAAGCATCAGTGGCAAAAACACCAGTTGTCATATCAGACTACGCGTCAAGGTCAAGCAAATGCAAATAGTTCAAAGGTATGCAGCCGCGCAACGAAGGTACGTAAAATGGTACGCACCTGCTACGTGAGCTAGAACAAAAAGTGAAAGTGGAAAATGAAGATCTAGTCCTGAATACAAAAAGTTAAGGCTGTTCGCTTTATCTTTAATAGCTCTGCACGTAGTAGTTGCTGCTACTTGTTCTAATTGTGCCAGAGAAGACCCAGAAGCTATCTGGATTTTCTGGTGAATACCTAGATACTAAGGAAGAGCTGCTAATATGCTACGAAGTCGAGCTTGAAGTGGTTGTCAGTGAAACATCTCCATGCGAAGAAATGCGAAGAGAAAATAACGGACAAGCTCTGCGTACGGTCGACCACGATGACGAGATCATTTTAGCTCTGGTTGAGAGCATGCGGTGGCCACAGTCACTAATTTTCAAGTGGGGCGTAGTTGTAAGAGCTCTACTTCTACTGTTGCGATTTTCTATTCATTGTCTCCCCAGACCGAAAAAGCCGCCACGTGGTTTGGGCTTGTTCTCTGTTTTTGCCTTCGTTGGTTGCGTGGACGAGTTCGCCGTGGGGCCGGTTTTCCTCTTGGTGGTCGCACTCTTGCCTCCTGCACCAGTGTCCTGCTGATGCTTTGCGCCTGGCCCTGCACCACCAAAAAGCCCTGTGGAAAGTGAGAGAATCAATCACTCAAATGTAGAATTAAGTGTAGTGGTCACGGGTTCTAGGGGACTGCTCAGTTCCAGCTTCATCATGTCGGTGTCAGAGTCAGTACGATCCGTGTCACGTAAAAAATGCATTTACAAATCAAATGAAGCACACTAAATTTGTCATATGAAAAGAAGGAAGCAGTGAGTTTTGTTGCGAGAGTGAGGTGAGTAAAGCAAGAAATTCAAGAGCTGCCTGACTCTATTTCCACTGCCCAGTACCATAGCTTGATTTTTTCTTCTGACCGCCTGCATGGTCGGTAGCAACCGCCGGGCCTTGAAAGTTGTGGTACGATGGTGGTTCTCCTGACACAGTAAGTTCCGGCTCATCAGCGGGCGTGTTCATCTTACTTGAGGAGTTCATGATGCGCATGTTGCTGTTGTTGCTCTGGTTCATGACGCTGCTGCTGTTGGGCCCTCCACGCAGGGACGACGCGCCACGTGTGGAAAAGCCGCCTCTGGACGAAGACGTGGACGCGCCCAGATGAGACGGATGATGGTAGTTGTGCTCGTGGTGGTGCTCGCCTGTGGCCGGTAAGGCCGACGCGCCGCCGTGGTGCGCACCAGAGTTCCGCTGCATGGAGTTCACTAACAGCCCAGCAGAGTTCGCGACGAGGCTCGATCCCTGAATTAGCACGCCGCCGTTGCTGATGCTGGGGCCTCCTCCGTGGTTCGCTGAGCCGTGCAGAAGATTTTTGTTTCCGCTCGTGTTAAAGTCGAAGTTTCGCGCAGACGTGTTCATCACGTTCGTTAACACAGACGGTGGCCCACCCAAGGAGCTGCTGCTCTGCTGTATACTTGCTCCGTCTACACCTCCCCCCGCTGCAGTTCTGCTCGACGTATGCTGATCTACTACGTCCAACCCGAGCGCGGTAGAAGTGGCCCCACCTGCACTCGAGAAAGGGACGATGGGTGCGAAGGCATTTGGATTGGACGCCACACTCGATGTAGCCGTGCCATTGGTGTTCAGACTTCTGTTTTGTGTCGTCACTGAAGTCGTCGCACCACCGCTGTTTGCAGCACTGGACATGGAGACGGAGCTGACCGCTTGGTTGTTGTTATTTACCCCCGACGAGCTGCTGCTCTGCGACGTCGAGGTGTGCGAGGAAATCTTCCCGCGGTTCCGTTGCCCCGCTTCACGCGTCTGCCGAATGTGAGCGTGCATGTTCTCGAGGAACTGGGCAAACACGCGCGCGTTGTTCGCTTCCAGGCTGTTTGCGTTCGTACCAATTCCAGCACTACTGCCTGCAGCTAGTAGTAAAGAGCCGGCGGTGAGACTGCTGCTGTTGTTGATGTTGGTGTTATTACTGGATCTCGTCTTGCTCGCACTTCCGCCAGCTGCCATGGAGCTTGTGCCGCTGTTGGACAAGGCGGAGCTGCTCAGAGGGGCGATCGCGAATTGTTCCGACAACAGCTCGGATACCTTGGAATTCGGGGGAATCACCCACGCAGAGAGCTCTTCCTCGGCCAGAAAGCACTCCTCGTCTCCCTCGTCAATCTCTTCTTCTCCTTATGCAACAGAAACTCGTCACCGCTACCGCACGACGACACAGACACACGGTGACTGCACACACCCGACGTACCTCCACGGGCACTATACAATATGCATGTATATTCATTTTCATTTCTCTATGTACTAAATAAAGGAGGATCTGAGAGGATTCCGCTTCATATGCAAAGAAAGTAGTCGTGGTCACCACGTGAAGTGGTGATGACGGAGCGTCTTGCACGTGTGCTGCGTGTCGGCTAAAAGCGAAAACTACACTCGGATACTTCCTCTTCTAGTATGGCCGCATCCGCGCTCTTCGAAAACTGTTCATATCCACAGCAAAAAACTCATCCACATCCAATTCGTCATGTAAAACACGTATCAAATCAGGCGTTTGTCATGCAAAAAATTGATGTGGGTGGTTTTTTTTCTGCTGATAGCTCCAGAAGGCAGTCTACTTGCCTTCCGAGCTCCGAGGTGTTGTCCTGGTGCTGCTGTCCGCTGCTTGTTACCCCACCTGCACAACTTGAGTCGGCCTGATTCTGTATCGTTTGGTGCAGCTTCTGCTTCTTTTCCAGAATGCTGCGAAACCCAATTCTTTCCGCTTCTTGGCGAAAGTGCGGCCTTCCAAGCAGAGAGTACAGCGTGCCGTTTGCGTACGTGCGAACCTGGGAGTCTATGTGAGGACACAGCATCAGAGCCGCCAACACGGGCAGCGTCGACGGAATCTTTTCGAGCTGATTTTTGCCCGCCTTCCGCAACGCCAAATTCATCAACAGCGCACTGCCGAATTCCAGTGTAATTTCTGAAATCAGCGTCCCGCGGGACGGCCGCGAAGGGTCATCCGTGTGCACGATGTGCGCCATCTGCATAAAGGTTTCGTGCGAAACCGCATCTGCACTGGGTAATAACCCTGCTCCTGCTCGACTCATCAAATGGTGCTGCTCTTGCTGCGAAGGTGCGCTCATCTGCTCTGGCTGGTTGCCTTGCCCCGTGATCACCAGACTACCAGTAGCCGCGATGGCGCCGCCACCACTTCCGGAGGAATGGGAGGCCGAGAGGCGGTCTTGCTGGTGCCACAAACTGCTCGAGGAGCTCGCAGAGTTGTTCGCGTTGCTGTGCTATGCATTGGAAAAGTATCGCACTTCGTAGAGACTACATTACAAATTTATCCAGAGGTTGTGCTGCAAGTTCACCAGGTGGGCAAGAAAAAGCGGACCTTCTGTCATGCAGCCAGCCTGCAATTTTCACGAGTTGCGTGATACTTCTCCAGTGGATACATTACGTATCGTGCCACCAGGAGGTGGAGGCGCAGTTGCACCGTTTGCGTTGTTGGAGGAAGACGAACGAAGTAGTTTCCCACTGCTGCTGCCCATTGGTGTCGGGTTTAGAGAATTGGAGGCGGAGGACGAGAACAGAATGAACTCGCGAAACTCCCCCAAAATCCAGCTCATCAGCTGCTCGTCACAGATCATGGCTTCCTGCATCTTTTGCGACAGTGATAGCCTTTGCAACGCCACCAGTGCCTGAAGCTCCGTGTTGTCGGACCGACCCAGGTGCTGCATCAGCCCGCGGATTAACAGGGATGGGTTTTGCGACAGGTACACGCGCCCGCCGGCTTCACACGCTATCACGGCGATCAAAGCAATGCACGCGTCCAGCTGCAAAAAGGACGCAAAAGCGCTGGACGCCGGGTCACCGGTGCCTGGATGAAGATGATCGATTCGCGCTTTAAACACTTCCTTCAGGAGTTTCAGGACTTTCTTCTTCATATAGAATCATGGGAAAAACAGAAAGAGATTTGACTTTCAGAATCGAGTAATTAGTACTAGTCAGTGGTCCAGCTCCAGTATCCGCACTTGCGGACGCCCCGACGTGCAAGATGTCGAAACAGCAGATGCCATGGAGGAACGCGCGGCGGTCGGCCAGAGGATCGAAGGCGGAGCAGCAGTGCTTTAAGATACTGATGAAAAGGTCGTTCTGGAGGGTCGCCGGGCTGTTTGGCGGCGGGTTTTGCAGCGCAGTCCGAATCCGCTGGAAATCAAACCGCGCGCAAGGACCGATTTGCTCGATGCTGGCCCCGCCGCTGTTGGCCTGCGCAGCCATGATCCCGAGCGTGCGGGACCGCGACCCGGACCGCGAGTACAAGGTTGACTGCCGACTCGGCCGCGCGCCGTAGCGGCTGTACAGGGACTGCCGACTGTGTACCCCCCGAGACACCAGCGCTCCGCGGCTTTTAATGTTGGCGCGCGCGCTGTCGGCTTCGAAGAGCATCATGGAACCACGCCGCGAGTAGAGCTGCTGCACGACGCCGTTGAGTTTGCGCTTGAGGTCTTCGTACGCCTCCCACTGCTTGGCACCTCCGCCACCTCCTGCGGACGAGGAAGCTGGGAGTTGTGTTCCAGGCTGCCCGTTTCTGGTGGGGTTTGCCGACGTACTGGAACTCGAGCCTCCGTACTGATACCGATCTGCTAGCTGCGGGAGGAGCCCGGCTCCGAGGTGCTCGTCGCTGCTGCTGTTGGACTGCTGCAGTGCCTCGCCCATGTGCTTCAGCGCCAGCTCCGAAATCTGCAGAAGATCCCGCACCGGATACAGAGAGCTGGCACTGCCAGCTACTGGTCCCTCGATCAACGCGTACAGGAAGGGATACCTAGTCGGGAATGAAGCCGTTGCAAAACACGTTGCAAAGTGTATATTTATAATTCGTAAGGAATGCTCTAATTTCGTCTTACTATCTAGGAATCCCATTTATGATCAGTGTCGTGCAAGAAGATACATAGTAAACAAGCAGTAGGACGACGCACCTTGGGGCATTTTGCGCAGAGGAGGGAAACTCGTGCAGCACCTTGGACGTTTCTGCTCGGAGGTCATCAACCCACTTCTGCGCGAAGATGTGCTTGAGTTCTGGGTGTTGGTGTGGCGTCGGCACAAACGGCAAAGCGTAGAACGCCACCATGGAGCCGTCCTCGTCTTGGTGCTCGGCCAAGTATTCTTTCAGTTCCTCGAACTCGCCCTGCTTCTGTCGCGGAAACTTCTCGTTGTTCTGCAGCCGCTTGCGCATGGGCAGGATGGCAAAGTACACACGCAACCGCAACTCGAGCGAAGAAAGATGGGAAACTGAGTTGGTCGCCGCTGCACTAGCCTGCTCCAGTCGGCGCCAGCCTCGGAAAAACCGCACGCTGTCGCCTGAAGTAGAGAAGTTTTACTTTCATTGTTTTCCTTTTCGCAGCCAACGGAATAAATTGAAATCGACAGACAGTGACAGACGCAGCTATACATGCTTCAAATGCACGTGCCTATAGTGATTGCTATACCGGAGTCAAATGCCTCGAGCAGAGCTTCCGGCGTGTACGACTGCGAGCTCGCTGCCGCATGATTGGAGTTCAGCGATGTCGCTTCCTTCTTTAGTGTCTTCAGCGACTTCTCGAATCCGTGATAGGTCAAGTATTCCTCAATAGCGCGCAGAATAGTCAGCTCTTGCATACCCGCACCGAAATCCAGCGTGTTCCAACTTGGCAAGGGGGTTTCATGTTCCTGATCGTAATTGTGGCTTTCATCGGGGGGATTGAGACTGTCCGCCATTTTCACCTTGTCGTTGTCTGGTCGTCCTCCGGGATAGGAAAGCGAAAGGGTGCGCGTGAGAAAGCCTCGTCGTACTGCGTGGGAGTAAGCTTGTTTCCTGTAGATCTCCACTCTAGCTACCTCGCCCTACCCGTTTCGCTCACACCATTCCGCGACTTCTGCGACCTCTGCGTCCCTCTGCAACATGGGTCCCGTACGGGCGCGCCAGACATATTTATCCACATGAGGCAAAAAAGTTGCTGCTCATGCTCATGCATGCTGCTTTTCCTTTTGCGAGCTAACGCTTCACCTTATTGTTCGTCAGGTCAGCCTCCCTGTGATGTGACTGGCTGCGAGTCAATAGCGCCGCGAGCGCGACCGCGTTGAGGAGCACTATAAGTAAACTGGCACACTCGACAATGATCGCTCTACGTCCGCGCTCTCTAGACGTGGGTCACGCCACGAGCATCCGATCGCGTCGATTGATCTCGACGCTCTATGACTCGCGCGCTTTAGTAGTTGCTTCGACGATGACGAATCAACGTTGCAAAACGACTACATACACATCTTTTTGTAAGTCTAGAGCGTCAGCCACAGACTCGAATGATTTGAGCACGACCACGAACCGAAGCTAACCGAAAAAGAACACGAGACGCATTTACCACATGCACATTGCAACGTTGAAAGCATGTTTGCTGGTGCTTTGACGACGCAGGGGATCAACGTCCACGAAGCTCGTCGCGTTGCGGTAATGTTGATGGTGAGCCTTCGAATTCAGTAAAACCTGTAGGCAACCTACAATAGTCAACGTCTTCGGCGCTAGCACCAACTTTTGATATCTAGCTTTCGCCCAAACTAGTCCGTGGATAACGCCACATGACCAGGAGCACTAGATGAAAATCCAGTCACAGTCATACCTTCATCTGACCGGTTGTTCGCCGTTCTCATTCAGCGGGGCTGTCCGTCCCGGAGAGCCATGTCGTAACCGGTGCCCGCGGAGATGTCCGAGGCGCAGTACCGGAAAGTGGGTTTGTACTCCATGTCTGCCTGCTCCTCATAGTTCGCGATCAGCTGGCAACCCTCGCCAAGGCAACTCAAGGACACTCCGCCATACGCGTTAGCCCGCAACGCAGCCCCGCCTTGCCCTTGCACCGCGCACGTGCACCCAGGTTGTGAATTTTCTTGGCATTGGGCAAGACTTCCAACACGGGGGAGGTTGAGGTTGTCGGCGGCCTTCACGACAGAGAGCACGCTCGCCGCTTCTCCAGCACTCTCGCCTTGCCCCGCCCCCGCGACGCTGAACTTTGCGTCCGCGGTGACCTCGGTGCTCTCGGGCTTCACGACGTCCATTGCCATCGCGGACGTCACTAAGAAGAATTCGAGGAACAGGAGGACCCCCCCCCCCGGAAGGGGGACGCATCGATGTCGCGCGTCAACATCTCTTTCTTTTATAGATATTCTGGTGGAGGCTTTGACTTAGTTTGCCGCACGTCGTCCCTATTTCATTTTTAGTTCGCGTGCGGGCACCTCCGCAAGAAAGTACATCAGTGAGGGAATCGAAGCGACATCAACATTCGATCGAATTGGGAAATCGTGCTCAAAACCAGCGGTGGGAAAGTTCGCAGATGAAGTACCGCTACCGGCTGGCGGTGGTCGTTCCACAAAAAAATGATCATGCTCAATAGCGATTCGTTTTGTCTTCATAAACCGAAGCACCGGAGACCCATGCTAACGATCAAAAAGTGCAAGTAGTTGCAGCACGAAGTACTTGGCTGCTCCTGCCCTCAACTCAGATACGTAAGCAAGAATAGGAAAATAACGCAACACCTCGGACTCTCATCTCCACGCTCTCCAATACGACCGCACCCAGGTCGACGTTCCTCGTTTCGAGCGTCCTTCTCCTATGACTAACAAAACGAAAACACAGCTACTCTAACACGCAGCTGCATTTCACGAAACAAATTTCTGGAGAGAGTTGCAGTGTCGTCAATTACCCCATCCGAGCTTCGTCTTTTTGCGTGGGTGAATTAATTTTTGGCATCCTATTTCCCTTTGAGTTTAATAAACAGAAGTAGCAGTAGCGTGAGACTGAGCACGAGTGCGGTGCTCATGAGTATGATTTTGTTTGTGAGAACCCGCCGGCTCATTTGCAGTAGTACCCGGCGGCTGTTCGTCAAATTCCGATCGATGTTGTCAATATGCTGTCGGCTTTGCTGAATCACTTCGCGCTGCTGCCTCAGATCGCTCATGATTTGCGTCCCCGTGGCCTCCGTGTCGACCGCCATGCGATGCGCATCCTTCAGTTGCCCGGTGCCGGCCGCTATTCGGTTGCCGGTCTCGCGAAACCTCGAATTTTTTACCAGTTCGGCGTCGCGACCTCCTCGGCGCTCGGCCAGTAGCGCATCCCGATCCACGTTGGCGCGTACCTCGGAATACTCCCGACGAAACCCAAGTTATCCCACGGAAAATCACCACAATTACCGTAAAACTAAACATTAAATAGAATTGCAAAAAGAATGCATATCTTCACGCCGGGTGGTCACGGTCATGCTCGTCGTTGAATTTCTTTCGCATTCTGCATTTTCTTTTCACCAATTGCAAGTGTAAAAGTGGCAGTGACTTTACCAAGCGTACAACGAGAAGGCTGCGGTACTGACGGACCCGCTGCTGCACGACGCCAGTGGTCGGCGCTGCGGGCGGGAGGGTCTTGACTTCCTGCTATGAAAATGAAAAACGCCATCCTCTTTTTCACTGTACGTAGGAGCATCATCATATCTACAAGCACGTGGAGCTTGTTCGACGAGAAAAAACTTGATGAATCAGAATCGCGGCGTTTGTTCCTGAAAGTAAAAACGTTACAGTGGCAAAAACTGCGCTTGATTTTCATTTTGTGAAGATGGTGATAGATAGCGTCTTTCATTTTCCTAGCTGCTCCATTTGTGCTATCTGCTGTTCCGCAACTTGCATCTTTTGCTCCACGTTGAAAATAGCCTGGATTCTCTCGTCGATCGCAAGGACATCCTGGCTGCCGGTCGCCGCAGGTGCGCCGCTTCGCTGACCTGGGTTAACGTTAGAACCAGAATACGACGTCGTGCTGCAGCACACGTTTGTACTTATTTTGCCTCTCAAGGACCTGCTGGTGACCATTAACGCTAGATACATGGGGATCTGCTCCTGCTGTTCCTGTTGTACTGGAATAAATTGCAAAAACAAAAAATAGCTCAATAAGTACCGGCCTTGGCGAGCAACTTGCGAATTTCGCTCTCGGAATGATGAAAATCCTCCTCATAGGAGGCAAACATTTCAGAAACACCACCCTGGTATGAGAGGTTCCCGATTGGCTTATTCAACATTCGAACCGGACGGCCATGCGATTAGTACTGTTTCGACCATACAGGACGCGTATCCGTTTCCTACCAACCATGGATACGCCGTGGAAGTCTTACGATAGCAAAGTTTTGGAGTGCTTCAAAAAGTAGAAAGTTGAGGTATCATTCAGCACACCACGCGGATAACAAATATAATCTGTACTACTAGTCAAACCGATGACAATGCTACTGTCCCTGTTACAGATACAGACATTTCACGTCTACGAATCAATGTCGCCTGTTTTCATAATGTTAATGGCCGCGCAGATCAAGATCATCATTCCTTCGTTTCACTTACAAAAACCCGAGGCTTGTTGGTCGAACATTCGAAACGTCCTTGGTGATGTTTCGGTACTTTTGTCCAAAGAGGAATGCGCAATGATTCGCGCACTTCACGGTTGTTCGGTGGGAACCAGCAGGCCAGCTGCATGTAACTTCGCGTTCTCCTTCTCAATCTGAATCTCCAAAAAGGAAAATGCGCAAAGATGAAAATAAAAAAACCATTTGTTCGGTTTGCTGCAGTGCGAGTGCAAGGACATGCGCTCGCGCACTCCTAGTGTTATTTTTTGTTCTTAGTTGGACCACGCAATTGCATGACCACTGGCTTGATTGTCATATCTGATGTTGTTACCAATATAGCATCTTTTCGATTTCGATGAGATTATCTGTGTATTTGTGTTGTAACAGTAAATGAGTTAATCTGTCCGCGTCTTCAGCTCCTCTTTCCAGTACATTTGTAGCTACATCATCAGTGCAAAAACTTTTCAAAATGAAAACACACCGGAATCGCGACTGGGACGAAGAAGAAACCATTCCTAAGCCTCAAAAATCAGCCGCATCATGGGTGACGTAGAAGTTCGAGTGAGTCAAAGTGTCTTGCGCCGACCCTCCTGCTCCTGTCTTTGCAGTCTGTCTAGTAGGTTTTCCGTGCGATCAGGGACTTCAGATCGATTTTGCCTTGCTCCTCGTAATCCGCTTTGGTGATTTCGTAGTAAGGAAACGTGGAGAAGCTGGCAAACATCGACCCCCCTATCCAGGCGGCGTTTTTTCGCTGCGAATCCAGGACCAGCTCAACTTTGCTTCCGACGAGCTTCTGCACCTCGCTGCTTATTCTGCCGGGAACGCCAGGAAGCATGCTTGTACCTGTGCGTGATATTGCGGTTGTCTTTTTTATTGAAAGCTTGATCCTCGCAAGGATCACACGGCAGAGTGTATCTCCTCTGATTTGTGTCCTGGCCTGCCGAAACCGGCGATCAATCACAACTTTTAGGACTAACAGACCTGGCTGCTCAGAGGCATTTTCCTATGATGATGTACGTGCTCTTCATTGTTGCATGATGGTGCAGGTGCAGCGAATGCGAAGAAGATGCCGCTGCAGCTCCAGCTGAAGAACATGGATGGTCCACAGAGACAGACATGATCATGATATAGATATTGCAAAATGTTGTAGACGCTCAAATACCTCCTGTGAGCACAATGTTGTGCATGCACTCGGCGCGGAATTCAGGGTCTAGGGTGTTCAGGGCAGAAGCACAGATGTGTTGCACGCTCTGCTCCTCGTCACTGGAAAAGAGGACTTCCCCCGCAGCATAACGAATGTCGTGCGGGATCTGATTTTTTTTTGCGCATTCACATTCTTACAAGACGTAATGAGTTACAAGTTTCTCATGCAACAGTTGTTCCTACTTTAGTCAAATTCATGGCGCGATTGCCATGCACTTCTACTTCATTTGTAATTCCAGTTAGCCACCATCACAAACGGAAAAATGAAATTATGAAATCCATAAACAACTACAGGTGAATCCTTACCTGTACGATGCTGCCGTCTGGTAATTCGAAGGACCTGTGTTCCTGGTCAGATGGGTCCTTGCTGAAGGTATGGACACAAAAAGCATGACAAAGCTCGTCCTCGTCTATTCCGAGAGTACTTGCTGGTCTTTGTAGGCCTATCATCTTCCACGAGCATGGAGGACAGACACGTACTGGCTACCTATCGGCGGGGAGCTTTGCCGCTTTTCGTTTTCTGTTTTCATTTTCATATGAGCAGGCTTTATCGTAATCAATAACAACTTCGCAGAGTTTTTCTTTCATCTTTCGCATGACGAGCACTTGCTGGGCGGGCTCGAACTCCGGTACAATTCGAGCGTCGACACACCGGGCGTAAAGCTCCTCCGTAGTGAATCGCATGCAAAATCACCCTCATCACCCTCCATCTGCAAAAAAATGCGGAGACTCGTAAAATCTTAATCTATCAGGCCCAAGGCCGAGCGTAATTGTTGAGGATCGAGGAGTACACTGTAGTGAATTTTCATCTTGCATCATCTAGGAGGGGGTACGTTGTAATTGTATGGATCAGCGTTACAAGTCAACGGAAATAAGGGTCGTGAGGGGATGTTATCCGATGGGATATGATGTCGGAGCCACCGCAGTCCAGTTTGAACATGGCATGTGGTATTGCGTAGCCCTCGAAGACCTGAGATTTAGATAGAAGAATGCACAAAAACTACATGTAGTTCCATCTGCACCTTATCGCCCTGCTATGTATACTTCTTTTTGTGAATGTGCTTGGATATTGATGCAGAAAGCAACCATGAAGCATATGATTTTCGCTGAAAATAACCCATCTTCGTAATAAGACAGCGTAAGAGTACCGGAACAGCGTGCGTGACTCCATCACCGGACTCCAGAACCAGACCTCTCGTCTTCCCGGTTGAAAAAAGCGACATAACAGCCGTGTTGAACATGGCCAGACTCTTCACCTTGAACTTCTCGAAAAGCAGCTGGAGTTTTTTGGGATTTAGAATTTGCATGTAGAAGCGCCCGTACTTACTACGCGAAGTAGCTGCTTGGCTTTTTCCTTTCCCAAGCCAGCAAGCGGAACAAAAAAAAGTATTCGTGCGCGGAAATTCCTTGGAAAGAAAACTAAAACTTCTGTTAATTCATCATACTTACCTCGCCCATCCACTCCCGGGCGGCTTTTGTTTCTGTTGGTGAGTCGAGCAGCAACACGGGAAAATCTTCCGGCTCGACCCCTAGGACCTTGGTAAATGCGTGCTGCAACAAGCTCTCAACCGCAGAGCCGCCTGCCTCGCTCCCGTGATCGATCATTCCGCGCTTTACTGGGTAGGTCAATACCGGGCTCCCTGATACGCTCGCGGCTTCCCCGCCTTGGCTTTCCGATGCTACCGCGGCGCTGTTGTATTGGTAGGCCTCCAGTCCCAACAGCGTCTTCTTTGTTTTCTCTACTTGTCCGGCTGCACTCCCGCTGGACTGGCCGAGCCCTCCACCCGCAATGATCTCCACCTGGCCTACGACTGTATCTACGCACGCCCGCGGCGCGTCCTCGCCGCAGAAGCCGATTTTAGTCACTCCGGAGCCCATGTCGATGACGATGACGTCCGTCTCGTCCATCGTGGCCTCTAGGTCCATCGCCATCTTCGCCGGTGTTGCTTCGTTTACTTTTTCCAACGTGCACCAAATAAAACGAGCAAACAGGAAGCGACGAACACGAAGGTAGCAGTGGTAGACCCGCTACCAGCTGAGGATGAAGACACGAAGAAAGTTGCAGTCCGTCCGCAGTACAAAGCCGGTTGTGTAGGTAGCGGCGAACAAAAAGTGGATGGTGGTCCTTTCTATGCCTATGCGCAACGTCGCGCCGGTTGCTCACCCTACGAGGAGCCCAGCGTCGCGGGTATTTGCCTCTTTTCCCACTCGACTTACCGCACAAGGTTGTCAAAGCAACAAGGATGATGCAAACACAAACAATCGTAGCTGTACTTCCATTTGTTCACTATGCCTAAGCTTCCGCTACATAATTTTTTCACTCACCTTGGCCATGAACAAACAGTGTTGTTCGTGCTGCGACGCGAAGCAGATTTATCTCACAAGGTGAGGTAGGAATTCCTGTTCCTCCACAGCAACATATTATCCCTCATTGAATCCAGGAGCCATCACGACATTTGCGTTCTCTCGAAGAACTCACTGCAGCCCACGACTTCGACTGTTCCACGCGGGCGTGAATTTCACGTCCTCAAGGGATAGTTCTCTCCCCCGTTGAGACCAGCCACTCAGCACGTCCCAGCGATGTCGGAAATCAAACCGGACCTGCCTCCAGCAAACTCGTCTTCTAAAGCAATACCGAGGTAGTTACAGGAAGAGCTCATTAGGGCGAACAAGAACTTTTTATCTTCGGATGAAATATTAGCGCTGCGCTTAGACAGAAAGCAGACAGCGAGGTGGGACTGGCAGTGGCAGCATCCCAATAGACCTGCATGGAGGTCAACCACAATGCCGAGCCCGCGTGCTGCCTTCGATGGCACTGCCACTGGATAGCTTTTTTTCATCTCCTGATTGTGGTGTCGATACTTAAATGGTGGCATCTAATTGATCCTGCCTGTGTAGTTTGCACGTGTAAAAACTGTGGCTACTTCTTTCCTTCACATTTTTCATACGACCTCCAGATACTTCATTTTTACGCTTCATTTTAGCGGTGTAGTCTCGGTGCTTCATACGGTCCACCTGGGTCGTCCTCGGTGGTCGCTGCTGGAATGGAGGTTGTGCTTCTGACACGGACGCGCGCATTGTCGTTGCTGCCGATTCTTAGCTTGACCTTTACCTTATTCGTAGTTGTAAATTCGCCGTCGTCCTCCTGCTGGGCGGAATTCCCGACGGACCCGGTACCACCCCCTTGCCCTTATGCAATTTCGTCAAATTTTGACGCGTTGTACTTGATGCTCGTCCTCATCTCCAGGATCTTATATTTGTTCTACCAAGCCCCACTGTCAGTCTCATCAACTTCGTCTGAATCTATTCAAAAACTACACCTTAAGCTTTGGCTTTCCACTATGCAAGTGCTGAGCACTTTCCTGTCTCGTTAGTTGCACGCTTTGATTAATTTGATCTTCATTGTCAGCGAGATGGAGATCGACGTTGCTTATGCATCATTCTGATCGAGATCGAGATGTTCGAGGCCGGCCAGAAATGTACGCAAAACGAAGAAATTCATGCGTCGTATCATGTTCAACCTCACACCGTCTGCGTCCACGTCGCCTCTGGCATTCACAGTGGCCGAGTTGCCGTATTGGTCCCTCGTCGCTTTGGTCACCTCCTCGTAGCTGTCCCCGTCCCCGCTACTTCCCCTAGCGTATGTGAGCGTCAGGCGGGAAGCCAAGTTTGCCAAAAAGTCGACATTGAGAAAATTCAAATGTACCACGGAAAGCTCAGACACTCTCCGTGCTACGAACATGCGCGAAGAGCGAAAGCGATTAACATTTTGCCATCAATATTAAAATGCACTTGATGGTCGATTCCACCTCCCTAGCTGACACTATCATACCCTTCTTCGCCGCCGTCTCCTTCTACTACCGCGCTCGCGCCCTTCGCCTTGGCTTTCACGTTTTCCTTCGCGGTTGACAAACGAGGTTGGTGGGGCTTCGCTGCTGGTACTGCTGTCCTCCGCGTTGGAGCCATAGGCACGATCTGCTTCCTCCAGACCTTCGTTAGACGCGCTGTGAGCACTGTGACTGTGTTGTGCTTCCGCACTATCCGCAAGGTGGAGCTGCTTCTGCTTGTTGCTGTTGGGCTTCGACAAAATCCCCGGCAAGGCGGCTCGTCCTGAACCGATTCCGGTGTAATCCTCGAGTTCCTTCGCCTTGTGTTCAAAATTTTCTCGCTGGTAAGCCGCTTCGTCTTCGACCAGCTGCTTGGTAGCTGCACATCGAACCGCGGTAGTCACTAGGATGACCAAAATCATAACCATTACTCGTGTGCCTTTCAGCAACACCAGAAAATCTAGGTGGTGGCGGCCCGCTGCTTGTCGCATCGTAACAAGCGATGCGTTTTTAGCTGGGACAAAAGATGAAGATCATACTACTGGAAACTACAGCATCTTGCAGTGATGAGCGACCATGTGCCACTGCATCAGGCACTTCTGCAAACAACCAAATGACCCAAAAACGATCGGCATGAATCTCCAAACGTGCTGCACGATGCTAAACGATTTTTTGTGACATCGTCTTTTCCCGTCACACCCGAGACACGTGAATCATAACGAGCGTGCGTGCAGCTCGTCGTTAATGTCAACCGTCTACACTCGGTGCCAGGCACTCCTCGTCGCTCTTGTTCATCGTACATTTGCATGTTACTTTGCACTCCTACTGGTATCTCAAAGAATGCACACAAGCCGCGGCGCATTGCCATTGCGAACAGACTGTCAATGGAGTAGAAGAAGGCGAATAAAGCTGCGTCGAGCTTGCCCGTCTAAAGCGGCGACGTCATTTCGAACTGGAATTGGAATACGAAAATGCGAAATGGGCACTGCGGCCGGCCTGTGCTTCCGAAAAAGCACTCAGTCAGCAAACGCTGCCCGGCTTAGATTTTCAAGCATCTCCGCCGTGTTGGAATACTCCGGTACAGAACGAGAACCAAATTGATAGTAAAGAGCATCAACAGGTCATAATTCACTGCAAGCTCGTATTGATTACCCGCTTGACAGATCCTGGAGCCACATAGGGAAGTGCTTCCACAGTCCCGTACCCATCTGGGCCGCGCTGGATCTGGAAGGAAACCTGAAAGTTTGATCGACTTTTTCTTGGGGTTGCGCTCTTCATTTGATGGATTCATGTTGGTTAGCAACGAGGAGACGAGCATCAAGCTCAATCTCAAACTCATACTTGCGCCGGCGAGATCGCGAAAAGATTCATGTTCGCAGTCTTTATTCTTTTTCTTTCTGGTGCGGATATTAATATTATACGTCGTCTAAACATTCAAAAAAAATCGATAATGAGAGACGACCATCAATACTTCCCCTCAACTTTACATGACTACACGAGAAAATCATACAATGTCTCCCGGCTTCAAATCTTCTGGCGTTCCACTCTCGTTCAACTTTGCATCATTAAGATGCAGTGCGCGCACTCCCACACAGCCGATCGTGAGGCTTTTTCCCTCGCCTTTCACCGTTCCCACGAAGCCGCGCTGGTTCAAATTCTGGGGAGGTAACTCCGAACCTGGTGATCAATTTTTCGTGTGTTGGTGACGCTATCGCCAAAAATAAGAAAAATCATGATTATGGTAGTACGCATTTGCTGTGTACTCGGTTACGATCGTATTTGTACGTCGAACTCGAACTATATCAGATTCATCGGTATTGATTGTCATGACAGCGGTTCAAAGGTGGAACTCCCAAGCTGATTATACCGTGTTTGAAGCGTAGGCAAGCGGCGCCACTCGGGTCCATTTGCACCTGAAACGCCAGAACCGCTCCCTCCGGTAAATGTAGAAAGGACAGTGTGGGCAGAGAGATCGTGGGAAACAACGCTGCAAGCTCCGGACAAGCGATGTGCGTTTTCTTGCTGGCGCTGTCTCGTAGATACTGGCCCGTAAAGTGAACGGTGGAAAAGTGGACGCTGCTCAGCGGGGTCTTTTTTGTTCCTGATAAAAGAGTTTTCGTGGACCATGCCAAAGCTAGAAGAGAGGACCGTTGAGGGAGCTTGGAAGAAGCAAATTAAAGTTGGCAAAGCAGGAATGTTGTTTTTTGACTTTCGGCGTCGAGGAAAAAAGAAAAATGGTCAGTGACAGTGAAGAACGTCAAACAAATCAGTCGTACGCGCAGTCGGACTTTTACCGCAACTTGTATCCCCCGGCTCCACGCCCCAAGATTCTAACTCGTTTTCAAAGTAAGCGCACTTCGGGAAGTTTTCGCTGTTGTGATGAAAGCCCGGCCCCGGGGGAAAGTCCGTAGTTGGTTGCCACCTTTTCGCCGGTGTTGAAGTAGAAGAGTTTCCTTTTCTAGCTGGAACTGGTTGCGCTTTCAACTCTTGCTGTCGCGGCACAGAATTTTTCATCTCGACGCCGTCGCGAGTCGTAAGCACAGTTTTGCTACTGGTTGTATTTTCGTCATCAAGAACTTGCTTCACCACGTTTGCGGTCGTGCTAGGTGGGCGTGCCCGTTTCATCTTGACACCGCCACTAGTCGTAAAGGCGGCGCTCCAAGGCTTTACCCGTTCTTCTGCATTTCCATTCGGGCTGCTGCGCGTCTTGCCAACGGCAGTATCAGTGTGGTCGTCGTGGCCGTAGTCCTTCTCCTGTTCATTCCACGAAGACCTAGACTGTGATCCGCTTGTAAGATTTTCATGCTTCTGCTGTTTGCCATCATGCTGTTGCGGACCATACTTTTTCATCTCTTTGTCATCCTTCTCGTCCCACCACGGCTGCGTGTTTTCTTCCCCATCGTCCAAGCCCTTTTCCTTCCAGTCGTGGTTCCGATTCTCTCGTCTGGTGTTCCACGACCCGTTTTGATTGTTCCAACTGGACGATGATGATGACGAAGAGCTGGCTGATGTGCTCGCGTTTTGGTCTCCTCCTGCTTTCCTTCCCCAGCTAGAAGACCAGTCTTCCTCTCTACCATCTTCTTCGCTCCACCTTTTCCACGAATTGGAAGAGTTTTTCTCGCCCTCACTGTTCTTGCTGGGGTTATTTTGGGTTTGTTCTTCTTCCCAGCCTTTTTTTTGCCAGGTATAGTCTTCTTTGTTCCACCATTGTGAAGAAGACTTCCAGGAGGAAGAGGAAGTAGACGTAGACCGATCCTGCTTCTCGTCGTTCCAAGAATTCTTGTAGCTGTGGTCCTGCTGTTTTTCATTTCGTTCCCACCAGCAAGAATTATTCGTGTGCTTGTCACTTTGCCAGCCTTGTTTCTTGTCGTCGTCCCATCCGTCTACTTCTCGCTTCTGGTAATATTCCGCAGGCTCACCCCGACTGCGACTGCTCGTTTTCCATGATGAGTTTCTTTCCTCCTCCTCGTCTTGATTCTTTCTACTTTTGCCGGTATCGTCTTCTTTGTCTTTCTGTTTTTCGCTTTCCCACCATTCAGCATTGTTTTTCTTCCTTGAGGACCACCCGGATGAAAAGGCTCTATACGTATCGCTGTCGTGGTCGCGATGCCTTGAGCTACTGCTTGCATTTTTCTCCCTCGTCGGCTCAACATGTTCTACTCGAGGATCCGGTGTTCTATTGGTGTTTGCATTTGTCTATGAAATGCAAAAGCATCGCACTAGTAGTAATCGCATTACAAATTCGCTCAGCATTACAAATGGAATTTCTCATGCTGATTTACATTGAGAAAGAGATTTGTCATGCATAATTGCGATTACTACGAGTACGATGCTTTTGCGTTGCATATTGTCCCCCCGCCGAGTCCGCAGTCTTCTTTCCATATGACACCCTCAGAATGGAAATCCTCAAAGTGGAAATAATTTGTAATGCAAAAAAACGACTCCAGTTGAAGCGCCATTTCTAGTCGGCGCATGACAGATTTTCCGGGCACTCAAAGCATGTCTGTCATGCTAAGTAGGCAAAGGGGTGCCCTTCTGTCGTGCTAAGCAGCACTCCAATTCTTCACCCCTAGCAGGACAATAGTCGGCCTCCATTGCGTCCTCTGCAATACAGTCTTTTTTGCGTGGCATTTCATGCATCACAAATTATTTTCACTTTGAGGATTTCCATTCTGAGGCTTTCATATCCCACTTGTCGTGCTTCCAGTGACCTTCGTCGTCGTTTTCTTGGTCGTTCTTAGCACGGCTCTGGTAGCAGCTGCCCTTCTCGCGCTTCACTTGTTCCGCTCGAGCCTTCTGGTTCTGTTTGTAGGCGCAAAATTCCCGATATTGCTCTTCGATGAATCTCTCTGCATCTTGTATTTCTGCATTCACATTTTGCCCGCGCCCGTCCCTCTCAGCGCCGTCGAAGGAAGACCGTTGGGAAGACCACGAGGACGAGGACCGAAGACGCCCCATCGGCTGCGGTAGTGGTGCACTTGACACTGAGGAAGACAGCGATTTTTGTTTCTCCATCTTCAAGGCTGTGGCTTGCGTTTGCTTTTGCTCCGAAACTTTGATCATGTTCTGCACGGCGTCGCCCTCAAAAGAGATTTTCGGCGCGTGGTGCTGTTGCGTCGCGTGGTGTTCTCCGTGAAGAGTTGGAGCAGGTTTGAAATTTGATGCCTCGCACGATACTGAAACTGACACACTTTGCTGCGGCGTCACTGGTCCTGGATTGACTCTCGCGGTTTGATGGCTTTTCTGTGTCAGGGCAGACGCTATACTGTCTTCAGATCGTCGCTTGCCGGCTGGAAATTTTGTCGCCCAGGCGCTCTCCCAATCCGTTGGGGCGCGGGAACGGGTAGAGGAGGGCGCTCCTGCTTCTCCACGCTCATTTTTATCAACTTCCGGACTACTTTCTGACTCGGGACACTCTACGACAAAGTTGGTGCCCATAGCATACTCCTTCTTTTGCGGACGTGGGCGAGCCTCATCCGGCGAGCTCTTGGCCGCGATTGCCTGCTCTACGTTTTCGGCTTCACCAATATCGTGATCACGAGGGGAAAGATGAGCAGAGTAATGCTCACAGCCCTGCTTTGACGGCAGAAACAACGAAGTGCTCTGCTTCGAGGTGGGCAGTGACACGGAATCAGTGCCAAGCTGCGCAGTATCCTTCGTGGTTGCTTTCGAGGCTGAAGTCGACAGTGGTCGTTTTGTCAAGTACAAGGCTTCGTCTTGTTGGCCCTCCTTTGTCAAATAGGCCTGCGCTGTCTCCTGCTCGTGGATACCGTATTTCAGAGCTGCGTTAGCTTCAAGGAACGCTCCTGCTCCAACGCCCTCCTGCTGCAACAGAACGCCAGCTGGGGCCAAAGTAGGTGCGATGCCCTTACACCCCACGTTCGCAGCTGCTGCGTCCTGCTCTGACTCGTCATCTTCTGCGAGACCCATTCCCGGGGGGAGCCTCATTGCTACTTTCGACGCAGCACACGACAACTCCAAAGAAGCGGGTAGATTACGTGTAGCGTCTTCGGGCACATGTTGACGCAATACCTCTACTTCCGCCGCATCCTCAAAACACTCCGCGGAAGGTGTCAGCTGCGGGGCGGGCGTGCCTGCGTCGTGGTAGATTTCGCCAGGGGACGAAATGGTAGCCGAATCCTTCGACAACGCTGGCATGCGAATACTGAAGTGACTCTCTGCGGGACTTGTCGCGGACCAAGTAGTTCCGACCGGCAATATATTTCGATTTCCAGCATCAGCAGCAAATCCAGTTTCGTCATAACTGCGGGCGTTATAGAAATCGACTTCCACGCTGGTGTCGATGGCTGTACCCTCTCGGCTCGTTGCTGCGACGAAGGGTTGCGGTTGCCCTTCTCGGTGTACTTTCTGCTGTATTTCGAATCCATCGTCGTCAGCGAGACAGTTTTCATCTCCATCGGCCAAACCCGAAGCGCTTTGAGGCGGATAGAGTAAATCTAAATCTAGATCATCTATTGGCGGTGGAAGACCCCCGTGCAAGCTGGATATTGACGTCGCGCCCGACAAGGCCGACAAGCGGGCCGGAGCCTCGATCTCGTCATTGTCCGGAGATGAAGCGAAATCGTTGAGCGGCTGCATTTTGATTTGGTGTACATCAAGGAAACCTATCCTTCTATCAATATTCAAGGACAAGAACCACAAACCCAAACGAACTAACGACGTCTTTCTCTTTACAAAAAACTCTTGTGTTCAATACGCATCGCAATATACACAAACGCAATATTACCGCGGCAAAGTCGGTGAAAGAAGGAGGACAAGCACAAGGGTTGTAGTAACTTATGGAAAGACTACTTGTACTTTCACAACGGGCACATTAAGTTATTTTCACTGATCCTGATTGATTGTTGCGCGAAATTAATTATGCTTGCATTGAGGATACCCGTTCCATGCTTTCGTTCCTCACAACATGCCGATCTGTATCATCTGGCCATCCGATCTCTGAGGCAGAACCTAGCTACGTACATGTGGATGTGCAGCTACATGAAAGAATATGGAAATGATCTGGATCGGGACGGATCTCTATCTTCGACTCGATCTTTCTACAAGCTCTGCGGCACGTCCTCTACCACGACCATTGACGACGAAAATCGTGATCGTCGTGGTTGGTTTACAAGTGTGGCTAGTCTGCTTCCACAGACAAGAAATAAACAAGCAGCCAAGAAATAAATAGAAGATGTACATGTATGCACCTCAGTAAGCTGCACAACGACCGATCAAAAATTCTGGCAGTACGCCTGTGAATCGGATAAAATTTCAGATTCTGATGTAGAGGTACAACAGTAAGCCTGATTCTGTTGAACAACCGCGTCAGTGTCTTGGAGGAGCAAGAGGATACTCTCGCCGCCTTGACATTCGCTGGAAAAATCTGCGCTGCCAAAGATACGTCGAGGCGTTTCGCGCAATCAGGTTAATATCGTCGTAGCATATAGCCCTTTATGGTTTTCTTGAATTTTGCAGGTATCTCTACTCCTTGAAAGAAATCATCAACGCGACGTGCGTTTATTCTTTATATCGAAATCGACAAGCAACGAGCTGACATTGTTTCATTTCGTTTGCACCACAAAAACACAAAAACCGTCAGTATTGCTGTTACCATTGGTCATGACCGGGCTCGCAATACAAGCATCATGAGGGAGCTTCCAGGGTCGGTGAATCCGCAGATGCGAGTAGATGCGCCTGTACCTTATCTTCGTCCGTGTCGAATCAAGAGCCTTACATGAAACCAAAAAAAAAGCTAGAGAAAAAGTTGTCTTGTGGCTCCAAATATTCTTTATTTGATTTGTAAGTAGAGCACTAATAAATTGGCGCGACATTAGTTCCATGTATATGTATCGCAAAAAATCGGAAAAGCATAAAGTACACTATTCTTTACAAAGTTTCGCAGAAAAATCAAAAATGGCTGCTGGCAGTACGGTCGGGCTGATGCCAGAACCGTCGCTAGTGCCACAGGAAGGTCGTCGAGCTGGTGCAGCAACGACTTACTTGAAACTTCGCCAGCCAGCGATGAACGCCGATGCGGACGAGCAATTGTTTTCATTTGTGTATAGAAACTACTCCTACTGGAACGTATTCGTTGAGTGTACTGATACAGACCGAGACACGCACCACTGTGAAGTGAACCATCTTCAAAGATAAATAGAGAGACGAAAAGTTATATCTCTCCTCGCAACGATTCCGGAACTCCCTCACCCTGCCCTTCGTGACAAGCTGCCGCCCAGCAGAGCGGCAGGGTGTTTTTCGAGATCGTCAGGCCTCGAGCTGCTCTCACAGAACTACCCACCAAAGAAGGAAGAGTCCCGCGGTGAGTGCCAGTGCGCCGATGACGCCATACCAGAGCATGGAGATGTTGGACAGAAACGACCCGAAAAAGGAACCACTAGATGCTGGGCGCCCCCCGGCACCGGCTGCGCCGGCTTGTTGCGCATTGTTATTCATTCCGTGATGCTGAAATTGGAACTGCCTCGGAACAGCGTGCCCATTGTTGTTGAACTGCAGCTCCCGCTGCGCAGCTCCGGGGCTGTTGTTGTTCGGGTTCAGAAACGCATTGTTATTGTTGTTATACGCACCGTAGTTATAATTCTGGCCCGCTGCATTCATGTTCGCCCCTCCGTTCCCCGGGAAATTAGGATTATTGTTCGGAAAAAAGTGCTGGTCTGCGTTGTTGATGCTACTATTGCGGATCAAGACGCCCAACCCAACCAAACACACGGCCGCGATGCAAAAGAGGATCATCACGATGCGGCTGCGTCCATAGTTCTTCGATGCCGACGCCGAGTTGTTGTTCTTGCGAGAACTGGCGTACTGCCCTGTGGAATCATACTTCGAAGTTCGGTGCTGAAAGTTTCTTGATGGGAGCTTCGTGCTAGAAGCACCACCTGCTCCTCCCGGGGGTCGTTTATTCAGCAAGTTGATGCTGTCTCGCGGTAGCGTTCCACTTGATGCAGTTGGTGCACCAGAAAGCTGCTGTCTAGAGGCACGATTCAGGCTTGCCATGCTGTATTTCTTGTCCCGGGGGGACTGACGCTTCAAAATGGACGCTGCACCGGGAGGGCCCAGCGGGCCTGGAAAAGCTATTGCAGAACCACCGACAGGACCTGATATGAAGACAGAGGGAAGAAAGGATTTTCTTATCTGAAATCTCAATCTTTGGGTCGGGGAAAAATAAAGCATAAGCAATGAATATACTCGAAATCATACCGTAACTTTCAAAACGCGCAACATACCTCTCGAGATTCGCTGGGCCTTGCCACTACTTTTCCGAAAGGGCCCGCGCCCACCTGCAACATTTTGCCCTTGCACCTGATAATTGCAATTCGAGTTCGTTTTTTAGCTACAAACGGCGGCATTTTGAAAATCAACAGGAGCCAGAATGCGCAGCTTGTGACGGAAAACATTGCGAAGAAACATTTAACCCCGACCACGAGCAACGAACAGGAGAGCCCCACTGCGCAGCCGCTCCCGTCCCATGCTATGGAGCGCTAGAATGCAGTCGAGACTTCTAGACGTACTATCAAAACGGAACGCAAGACGCTACCTAGTAATGCAACTTACGACACCAGAATCAGTCGTCACGCTCACGATTCTAAAATACTTAAATAAAACCATACCTGACGAGACAGGCGTCGGTGGTTTTGGTGTTGCAAAGCAGCCTGCTCCGTGGTTCTTGCTTCGTACCTGCTGCTTCTTCTATCCCCATATCCCAATCGCGAAGGATCTACAGCATCCTGCGTCAAGGAGCTCTCTCCAGTGGTGCTCGTGTCGTCATCCGTGTAGCCCGAGTCATACGAAGAGGAGTACTATGAATTGCAAAAGTATCGTACTCGTATAAATGCATTACAAATTTTCTCAGCATGAGAAATAAAATTTGTAATGGGGATTTGCCTCAAGAAAAAGATTTGTAATGCAAGACTTGCATTTATACGAATACGATACTTTTGCACAGGATAAGTACTCGTCATCCTGCAGGTCGTCACTGGAGTCCTCGGTGGACGGGGAAAGCTTCTGCTGCTTTTGCGCCACCACGTCGGTCCTGTGCCTGCCAGGCGCCATATTTGTAGCACTGGTAGTTGTACCGGCGGAGCGAGGCTGCAGAGGAGGGCTCTGCACGACGGAGGACATGAGTGTGCTGACGCACCGTAACTAAGTGATCTTGTTATGAATGGTCTACACAGATGTTATTTTCGTCAAAAGGGCTCCGGCTGCGCCTTCGTTCATCTGCGTCTGCCGCAGCAGAAGCAAGAGAATGCAGCAGCTGGCATGACGCTCAAACACAAGAAAAAAACGCAAGAAAGCAGAACGAAGACGCGATCTATCAAAAAAAACCAGAACGGGGAGTGCTAGGCGTAGTTCGATCCAAAAAAGTTTAGTTTTGGTTACCGGATGAGGTGGGTTATTTCACTCAGGACACGTGATGAAATCGCTCTGCAACTGTAAGCGTATCGAGGGCGTTGATATCGAACACCAGTACGAGTTCGTGGCAACTCTGCGGAATAGAAACAATCAAAGCCAGCACGTAGTTTGTCGCTCCTTTATCTTTGCCAACATGCTTCGTATTAGCATCGCAAACAGAAGGTGAAACAACATCAAGGTCAAGAAGGCAGTCGTGACGCGGTGGTGGAAACAAACGGCAGGGCTAGCCAGACACAAGTCTACTCGCATGATCCTGCTGGAGAAATACAAGTACACAAAGTAGACGATAAAACTGACCGGGATAAGCAAGTGACGTGAGTGAGTCACAACGCCTAGCCCCAATATCTTTCTTTGTCCTGGTCGTAGCCGAGTTGCATGGATTACCACACATCAAAACTAGCTCATAAAATGGATGGATAGAATCTTCATCCGTCGGATGGCGCAAGTCCCCCCGTTCAAACTAAGAAAGTACAGTCGCACTGCATGCTACCGATGCAGGTAGCAGAAGTGGGGAACGTAGGACTAGAATGAAGAAGCAAAATTAGAAACGGTGAAACTGTAGCTCGAAAACAGAATAGAAGATGCATCATACAGCTGGATCTTTCTTGGGAGGATAGGGATAGCGCAAGACTCTTGCCCAATCATACATCCTAATGCTCTATTTGGCGAAGCGCTAGAATCAGAAACAGTTGTACCTCCGCACCGCTGAAAATCAGCAAAATTAGCTCTACGGTCGTGAAAATGTAGGATATGACAGAAACTAGAAGGCGCAACTGCAGTTGGCACAAAACAACCACAGACACACCAGCAAAATGAAAATGATATAGAAAAGCTCATTGGTAGTCTTCGACGGCATGACTGCACTTTAGTCGAAACATATCGAATAACATAGACATACATATGTAGCGACGGTGTGAATTGTAACGGCGATCGGGTTGATATTGATTCACTTAAGTTGATAGACAAAGCGAGTTCCTTCCTATCGGCATCGATATTGCTCACAAACCCTAGTTGGTGAAGAAAAACTAACCAAGAAAGTGGTGTAACTAATGGAATTTCAATTTTCTAGGAAATAGAAACGAGCTTTTTGTTTTTGTCACGAAATATTCTTTCATTCAGTAACGTCAGCATAACAAATATTCTCTAGTAAGATGTTGCGGAATCGAATTCCCGGGGGTAGGCTGCAAGGAATAGTCATTTTTTTCAATGTAGTTGCACACAAAAGCTTCGTTGACGATAGGTAGCGTACCATTGGCTTTGTGATTGTAGTAGAGAAATGCGCAACATTTTCTTTTCCTATTTGTGGAGGAGGAATGCTGGCATGGAGTTTGCTTCCAGAATTCGAATCAGATTCATCGTACTACAAAACTCACTTGTTCCTAATAGCAAGTGCCTTTTTCAACATTTTCATGAATTATGCAAAGAGAAGCTCCGAAGACTCACTCACTAGCGATCGGACGTTGCGTGATCTAGATTTAGACTCTATCTCGGGTTGTAGTATCAGTGCATTTTTCAACAACACCACGAATAAACTTTGACTAGCCACTGCCACTCCTACTACTCAGTCGTACCTGAGCATCATTAGGAGCATAGGTTTTGGGTGCCAGCATGTACCTCTTTTACGGGCCAACCAGCGGCGTGGTCTCATCCCTCGTCGCAGGTCCATTTCCGCTGAATGTAGCCGCTTTGAACACCGCGATAGCCGCACCAATCGTCATCAGCCCCAAGATCGTCATTTCTGTCACAAACAGAGCGTTTAGACAGGTGAACAGGTTCATTCCAACCGCGGCAATCCAGGCGGTGATGCAGAACATGCTAGCGCAAACTGCGCCGGGAATGCTGGGTGTACCTGATAGGGATACAGAGGCCCAAGTAGGATGGCGCACTTTAATAACACGTAGCTGCTCCAATAATTCGAAATAAACGATGAAAACCCATCAAACCAGGTGTGGGCGATGTGATTATGCGTCATGCTCATGCGACAAAACAACAACAGGAGGACGAATTTCATTCAATACGAACCCAATATAATCATGTAAGTAAAACACGAGCCAGTTGTCTAAGTACCTTGGCGAAAGGTTCGGCACGCCCAATCGTCAAACTCGTCAGTGAAGCAAACCTGTAGATGCATAGAAGAGAAATTCAAAATTGTTTTTCATCCTCTTTTTTTGTGCCTTCGCCGACTAGAATCAATATCAAGCAACGAGAAATTGAGATTGACGTAAAAACTACCTTCCTATACGAGAAAGATGTAGTACCAGACACGTGTCGGCAAACATTGCGGCACCCAAGAGGCCGGCCATCGTATACGCCGCAGTGGCATTTTCGCACTTAGCTCCCGCTCCTCCAGTGATGATAAGTGCCAGGCAAGCGATCACAGGAATGGCGCATCTCATCAGAACGTAATCGAGGTACTGAAACCAGGCGTGTTCTGGATCCCATGAATTTCCACGAGACACAAAGCGGAATGTGTATCTGCAGACGAGCGCGCACAGATCAAACACGATGGCAAGACCGGATGTCGCAGCCAACAGGAGGCTGGAAATAACGACGCGGCTCTGTTGTATTGAGGGAAGTCGTCAATAATTTTTTTCGCACGTTGGTTTTATACGTACGAATGCGTCATCATGTTTCCTCCATTTACGAAATGGAAATACCAAGAATGAATTAAAGAAAACATCCCTGAAAAAGAACTTTTCGCCACAATGAATTCATGCTTCCATAGCTGCTCGTAGTTAAGGTTTCCCTGCTTACCTGTGCACATGATGAACCGCTCACGTAGTAAAACGTAACTGAGGAAGCAACTGCGAAGGTGGCTTGAAACAACCCCAACCAGAATTCGACCGTACGCACAAAAAAGATTGCTGGAACCTGATGCGGAGCGCGGCGAAGGTGCGATTATTATTCCGGATTAATTTTAGTTCGACAAATTTATCTCAACGAAAGCATTTGTTTACGCTGCCCGAAAAGCAGCGCATCACGTTCACATGCTGCCCATACGCATACCCTTTGTAGAGAGGAGAACTCAGCCAGAAGCATCTTCAGGGTCATCTATATTTGTTTCATTACAAAAACGTACCACATGCTCCGAGTAATCGTCTTTTGCGGCTTCGTGGTACGCTTGCAGGTACCCCCGAATCCAGAACACGTTCACCAAGTCGAAAAGAACTCCAGGCAAGACGAGCCCGAGCGCGATGGCGATTTTCGACGAGCAGTCAGCTGCTTCGAGTCCGATGGTGCACAGGCTTCCCACTGCAAACAAATCCACCAACAACGTGAGAAAAGTAAGGAACACGCTGATGTGGTACAGGTACGTGGTGTAGGCGTAGGTCTGGTAAGAGTAAAACGTGACGCTTTGACGAGAAGTTTCGTACAGGCCCGCCGAGGTGTCGACAATGGAGGTGGCTCCACGCTTTATGGATTTCCCCGTGCTTTCCGCCAGGTTGCCAAGCGGGCCCAGAGTCATGGAATGCAGCTTGTCGCCCACCGCGGAGAGTTTCGTCCCCTCACCATCGCCGAAACCAAAGACCTTGAATGTTCGCACAACTTGCAAAGAAAAAGATGCGGCTTTCAGTGTGTAAGTGCTGCTTCACACATCGAAATGGACCTTTCACACATCGAAATGCACCGTGACAGATTAAAAACAATCTCGCTGGAAACCGGACCAGCATGGTCGAGTGCAGTTTTTTTCAGATTTTGATGAACCAAAAAAGCAAAGCCAAAGAGCGTCTAGTAGTACCCCCGTGGTATCGGGCATTCCGGGCATGGAATCGCGGACGGTTTGCACCCGGGTCGAGACGCCGGTCGATAGAGTGGATACGCCGTTTGATACTCCCTGCGTAACAGTCGAGACCGCAGTGGAAACACCATTCGAAACACTCGAGAACATTCCGCGGACACCTGCATATCGTTTTGAGATCATTGTTTTAGATCAGATAGATTGATTTGATGCTCGCTCGTTCAAAGTTCAACATTTGCGTGTCGTTTACAAAGCACAGAACGCGAATTAGAAACATCGAGTATCAAGTTACAAAAATGAAACGTATCTACTATCAACAGAAAGTAGGTCAAGTGCGCATACTGAATTTGAAGCCGCCATCCGGAGAGGAATCATCGGCTGCAAACTCGGTTGTTTCGGCGTCTGGGTCGGTCCCCTGGTTTGTTCCACCGTAGTTCGCAAACTGCTGCCCCGCTCCGCCGGCATGGTACTCGCTCTGCGACATTCCGGTGGGGCGACCCATTAATTCATCCGGATTAAACTGGGTGTTTGCACCGCGCGACGCAGCAGCACCGTAGCCGCGCAGCTGCCCGTCCTGGCCTTGCTGCGCGCTGTTCGTTTCCGGAGTACTGGCGTACCTGAGTAGCAGGTCGTTCGAATAAAAACATCGATATCATATCGTCGAGTTCGAGATTGGAAAACAAGTACAAGAATCTCTTTTCATATAGTCATCCCGTCATCACGATTATTTACAGCAATCACACAGGCTTTTTTAGGTCTGGAAAAAGAAAAACAAATGGCACTGTCACCGAAATCAAAAGAACCACTTTCAATGATAATACCCTTGCCCCCCGTACGAATCCGCCGGACCAGCACGGTTTCCGTACGCGCGGACCTGGTCGTAGTCTCCCTGGTTCAGATAATTACGTTCCTCAATGTCCGCCGCGTCAATCTGTTGGCCCTGTGTAATAGGACCAGTCCGGACCGCTCCCTGCATTCCGGGCGCATAGCCTGTTTGATCTTGAGCAAACCCTTTCTCCTTGCCGCCGCCTTTATTCTTATCCTTTCCTCTTCCCATCTTTTGTTCTATTTCTTTTTCTTTTTGTAAACACAAACTTTCCTTCCGCTTCCCCCGAGCTAGTAACTTATTTTTCTATCGCTGAAGTTCTTAATCGAGGGTGGAAATCGAAATCAACGCGCTCCGGGAGCCGTTGCCCTTGATCAACACCTTCTACTGATGGGTTTACGAAATTAATATCTTCACTTGGTGTTTTGCTCCTTTATTTGTAACTTGCTACCATTTTGTCCTCTCATTGAAGACAAATATCATAAAAGCGAGTCATCGATTTTGTGTCCTACCGCCGGGGGACGAGGATTCGAGTCCACACTCTCAAAGATGCTGAAGGATAAACATTCAACCTGACGGCTCGTGATGAGTTACATGGTCTGACGGTTTCGTGACGTTTTGAAAAAAGAAAAGCGAAATTTTTACTGTGGCTCGGCACTACGATAGCTTCGGGCGATAGGCGGCAAAGCCATGCCGCGAAACACACCGCGAAGCACCATTGGTCCTACCCCAGGACAGTGTCTGCCTGGGGAGCGTGCACGCATGTCGCCACACGCGTTGAAAATTGTGTGGGCCCCCATAACACAAAAAGACGAAAGAGCAAACCCCAAATGCCCAACGACTGGCATCCCACCAGCCAACGCAGGGGCGCGCAACGGCTGGACGTTGGCCATATTCTGGGTTGCCGCCTGACGTTTCCCATGGGCGCCTTTGGTGGTAAGTAGCTAGGTAGGCCCTCAGGTAGCCCAAGAATGAAATGACGCAATTTGACGGAATGGTGACAAAACCGTCACAAGTTGGAAGGCGGTTCCAATTTGGTTAGTGACAGTTTTTCTTCCC